CATCATTCATTCATTTATCCATCCATCCATCATTCATCCATCCATTCGTACATTTTTTCTATAATTTATCTATTTGATCATCCGTCCCATTGTATTTACATGAATTCATTCATTTATCCATACATCCATCATACATTCATTTATCCATCCATCATCCATCCATTATTCATTCATTTATCCATCCATCAGACATTCATTTATCCATCCATCAGACATTCATTTATCCATCCATCTGTCATTCATTTATCCATCCATCCATCCATCCATTATTCATTCATTTATCCATACATCCATCATTAATTCATTTATCCATCCATCCATCCATCATTCATTCATTTATCCATCCATCATTCATTTATCCATCCATCCATCATTCATTTATCCATCCATCCATCATTCATTCATTCAATTATCCATCCATTAATTTATCTATCCATCCATCATTCATCCATCCATCATTCATTCATTCATTTATCCATCCATCCATCCATCATTCATTCATTCATTTATCCATCCATCCATCCATCATTCATCCATCCATCCGCCACTACGTCTCCAGCGTTCCTCCGCCTGCACCGAGTGAAGCGAGCGCGCAAGGGAGGACTCGCTGTTGCAGTTCTTCAAAATTTAAAGCATCAGTCAAAAATTGCGTTATATGGACAAAAAAAAAAACGTATATAAGTCGCAAGACTGACAAATCTATGTAAAAAAAATCTGCGACTTATACGCCAGAAAATATGGTAGTTGTAATATACTCCTTTAACTCTTTCTTATTTGTACAACTTTATTTTAGATGTGTTGCTGCCATAAAAATGATTTTACCTTTTAAATAAAAAAAAAAAAAAAAAAATGGTTCCGTTCTTGTGTAAACATTTGATATGTTCACGTTGTTCCATTTTGAACAACATATGGGTTTTTAAGATTTGCCAAATCATTCCATTTTGTTTTTATTTACATTTTACACAAAGTCCCAACGTGTATGTAACTGGAGCTGTAGGATCTGAATGTTTTCATGGGTACCTGCCGTCAGGTGAGAAGCAGATACTGCTGACCGGTTTGTGAAAGTGAAAATGATGAAGGACGGCTCGAGTGATGAGACTGACCAGCAGCGCTGCTCCATCTGTCTGACACAAACACAAACATTTAGGTCGCCATGTTAAAGCGTAGCCTCACATTTCAATAAGTGGAAGTTTTTTTACCTTCGTCCACCACAATCGCCAAGTTCCCGTTAGGAGAGAGACCCACACACGTTATATTCTTTGTGGTAGATACGGGTAATGTCTCTGACGTGTTGCTAAGTGACAAAATAACATGTTTAAGATTTTTTTTTTTGGAGATACTGTACAATAAAAATAGACAATTTCATTTATCACAGGGCTACTCAACAAAACTGCTCAGGGGTCGGACATCCAGAAATTACCGTCATTATGTAAATAAACCATGTACAGGTGTTGGTTATAAAATTAAAATATCATGAAAAAGTTGATTTATTTCAGTAATTCCATTCAAAAAGTGAAACTTGTATATTATATTCATTCATTACACACAGACACTTTATTTTAATGCTGATGATTAGAACTGACAACTAATGAAAACCCCAAATTCAGTATCTCAGAAAATTAGAATATTACTTAGGACCAATAAAAAAAGGATTTTTAGAAATGTTGGCCAACTGAAAAGTATGAACATGAAAGTATGAGCATGTACAACACTCAGTACTTAGTTGGGGCTCCTTTTGCCTGGATTACTGCATTAATGTGGCGTGGCATGGAGTGGATCAGTCTGTGGCACTGCTCAGGTGTCATGAGAGCCCAGGTTGCTCTGATAGTGGCCTTCAGCTCTTCTGAATTGTTGGGTCTGGTGTATCACATCTTCCTCTTCACAATATCTCATAGATTTTCTATGGGGTTAAGGTCAGGTGAATTTGTTGGCCCATTAAGAACAAGGATACCATGGTCCTTAAACCAGAAACTGGTAACTTTGGCACTGTGTGCAGGTGCCAAGTCCTGTTGGAAAATGAAATCTGCATCTCCATAAAGTTGGTCAGCAGCAGGAAGCATGAAATGCTCTAAAACTTCCTGGTAGATGGTTGCGTTGACCTTGGACCTCAGAAAACACAGTGGACCAGCACCAGCAGATGACATGGCCCCCAAATCATCACTGACTGTGGAAACTTGACATGAACCTCAAGCAACATGGATTCTGTGTCTCCTCTCTTCCTCCAGACTCTGGGACCTTCATTTCCAAAGGAAATGCAACATTTACTTTCATCAAAGACCATAACTTTGGACCACTCAGCAGCAGTCCCAGGCGAGACGCTTCTGACGCTGCCTCTTGTTCCAAGAGTGGCTTGACACAAGAAATGCGACAGCTGAAACTCATGTCTTGCATACATCTGTGCGTGGTGGTTCTTGAAGCACTGACTCCAGCTGCAGTCCACTCTTTGTGAATCTCCCACACATTTTGGAATGGGTTTTGTTTCACAATCCTATCCAGGGTGCAGTGTTTTTTTCATTCATTCATTCATTCAACCATTATTTAGACAGATAAATCCCATTGAGCCTCGAGGACTCATTTACAAGAGAGACCTGATTTTAATAAAGAATGATGAAAAACAATGGACAACAGCGACAACAATAAAGAGTTATAAAAAGGCATACAGATATATATATATTTTTTAACAAATAGGACGGCTAAAAAAAAAAAGTAACAAAAAACAGATTCTAAGGCGAATGTAGAAAACTAAAAACAGGAACATGTCTGCGTTGGTCCCTGCCAGGAGTCCAACAGATTCTTAAAGCCACTTAGAGAAGTCAAGGTCGAGAGCATCAAATCTTTTTGTAAGATATTCCAGGAAACAGGAGCGGAGCAGGAGAAGGCCCTTTTGCCAAGTTCCTATTGCTTGTAAAGTTTTTTTTTTCTACCACATCTTTTCCTTCTCTTCGTCTCTCTATTAATGTGCTTGGACACAGAGCTCTGTGAACAGCCAGCCTCTTTATCAATGACCTTTTGTGTCTTGCCCTCCTTGTGCAAAGTGTCAAATGTCATCTTTTGGACAACTGTCAAGTCAGCAGTCTTCCATGATTGTGTAGCCTACACAACTAGACTGAGACCATTTAAAGGCTTTTGCAAGTGTTTTGAGTTAATTAGCTGATTAGAGTGTGGCACCTGTTTTTTAATGAACATTTTCACAATATTATAACGTTCTGAGATACTGAATTTGGGGTTTTCATTAATTGTCAGTTATAATCATCAACATTAAAAGAAATAAACATTTGAAATATATCAGTCTGTGTGTAATGAATGATCACAATATACAAGTTTCACTTTTTGAATGGAATTACTGAAATAAATCAACTTGTTCATGATATTCTAATTTTATGACCTGCAACTGTATTACAATGATCTTTCAAATATGTTGCATCGAATCATGAATGCAAACTCAGAGCACCCCCCCTTCCCCATTTTTTAAAATTATTTTTATTTTTAATGAACTCATTGGTAGGTTGGACTGGTGCTGCCAGTTTATTAGCCCTGCTCTATCATTCTTTCTTTTTATAGTTAATTCTTTATATTTTTGTCCATCAAACCAATGTAACAACTTTAAGACACTGGCAGCAGCTTTGCCATTCTTCTGAATATTAGTGTTGTTAAACTTCTATTACAATTTAGTGACATTATTGTTTATCCTTCTTACTTCTTCAAGTCGAAGACAGAGATCCTGTTTCCTACAGGGCTGATCACGGCGTTGCCATCTTTGGAGAAATTCAAGTTTCCCTGACGATAAACTGCTCCGAGCAAATTGGAAAACTACAACAACATAAAAAAAAGAAGAAGACTAGGTTTCAGATTAAAAGACACAACAGGTACAAATAAAGAATGACGGCTAGCTACGCAAAATCAGGCGCAAACAGAAGATGGGCAAGTTTCCTCTAAAAGCAGACATACAAATTACTTATATTGTAAATAAAATAAACCGAACTCATCCTGAAAGTGTATTGTGTTGAATTAATATTGCATCAACTGCATGTAATTTGTATAAAAACGATTAAATCCAAGACGGAATACAAAGCGACACTTTCTTTACGCAGATTTGTGTTAACAGAAAAAGCTACGTTAGTTGTATAACTGCTCCGTACTTACCCTGTAAGCGAACTTCATTATACGCAACTTTATTCAATTTGTTTTCATTTGTTAATGTTTCAATTTATCTACATCGGTAAACGTACGAATAAACAGCTAATGCTACACATGCTTCCTCTTCCTCCACACGTGCGGTGAGTCTTGTTGACAGTCTTCACTTCCGGTTCAGATTAGTAAAAAAAAAAAAAAAAACAGCGCCCCCTCTGGTGACATGCCGGAATCGCATGACGCACTGTAAAATCCTTTTAAACTTGTTGACTGACAGGAAATTAAAAATATCTCCTAAAATATTTAAAATGCAATTTCTGAATAAATTCATGAGATATGTTTCATCAAATCAAACACTTTTTATTCTATATTTTGTTGTATTTATGATCATTTTGGATTTACTTATAGTTTCAAGTGGTCATTATGTAAATAAACCATTAATTAAATACATTAAATAAACCAGTGTTTTGAAATAGTTTTAGCCAGCCTGCCTCTGAAAGGTCAAAGGCAAGTATGTGTGTGTATTAGTTGATTTTTCTGTCTTTTAGCGAAACATCTCAACCGATTGGTAACGTTTCAAACCAAACTTTCCCAATGAAACTTTCAGAAACTAATCATTGGGTGCACATCTACAACAAGAACTTTTAGAGATCATGAGATTCAAAATTAGCCACAGCTAATCAACTCTTGTAAACACATAAACTGCTATAAATCAGTCGATTTAACAGATATTAAGAAAATAATTTGAGGTGGTAGTAGTAGCTGAGTCTGACCCCTAACGCATACTCTGCTAACAGATTGCAACAGATCATTTGTCACCACTTTCTCTTACTGTGCATGTGAACATCTGCACAGCTGTTCATCTCAGCAGTATGAATTTATTTTTTTGCAATAACATTTATTTTTTGCCTTTCCAAAAATGCATTCACATTTATTATAAAAATGTGTTGTCACAGGCACTTTAAGATCAGTGGATTATCTGCATTTATTCAAGGATTGCGAGGTTCTTATCATTCTGCACTGTTCCTTGTTGTCTGAAAATCTTTAAATGTTGTAAATTCAAAAACAATCTGTCTTATAGTCTTTGTTTTTATCGACTGCTTTGGTTTCCTAAAACCTGTCCATGGAATTAGTTACTTTTCCTACGTACATTTTTCGGCGTATTTTTCATGCCATAGTTTTTGTGCTATTTCAACAAATCATAAATCAAAACGTTCAGTTTGTTCAGGACAATCCTGCCATGAAGTTTGGTATTGGTGCAACTTTAGCTTTTTGAAATATTTAGCCTTTTCTGCCATTTTTTTCCTTATAGAAAATGAATTGAGCTCATTTTACATCTTTTAAATCTTTAGATCTGTTTACAACCTTTTACTGCTCCTTTCACGTTTTGTTCTGCTTCAGCTTCTTTCAGCTTCCTTGTGCAAATTTAAACTAGTTTTCAGCTACTTTCAGCTGTTTTTTCATCCGTTTTGTACTCCTTTCAGATTCTTTCTGCTAACTACAAATTTTTTGTGCTTCTTCTAACTTTGTTCTGCTAATTTCAGCTTATTTCTGCTAGTTTCAGTTATTTCAGCTGCTATTTGTGTGTTTTCGGCTAATTTAAGCTTTTTTTTTAGCTAATTCCAGATATTTTGCAATAATTTCAACTTTTTTCAGCCTAATTCATCAAAAATGTGCTCTCTTCACCTCCTTCTGGTAACTTTAACATACTTTCTGCTGTTCTTTTCAGCTCTTTTTTGTTACTCCCTGTAATTTCAGCTTTTTTAGCTAATTTCCTATTTTCATGCTAATTTCTGCTAATTTGAACCTAATTTAGTGAATATGTGCTCTTTCTGCCTTCTTCTTTTAACTTAGGCTTCTTCTTCCTGCATTTCAGCTAGATTTCAGCTGTTTTTTTTTTTTTTTAGCTAATTTCATCTTTTTTTTGTTAATTTCAACAATTTTTTTTTAGCTAATTTTCTAAATTTTGTGCTAATTTCTGCTAATTTAAACCTAATTTAGCAAATATGCGTTCTTTCTGTTTTCTTCATCTAGCTTAGGCTTCTTCCATTTCAGGTGAATTTCAGCTGTTTTGGGTTTTTTGTTTGTTGTTGTTAATTTCATGTTTTTTAAGCTAATTTACACATTTTTGAGCTAATTTCTACTAATTTAAACTTAATTTAGCAAATATGTATCCTTTCTGTTTTCTTCATCTAACTTAGGCTTCTTTTTTCCATTTCAGCTACATTTCAGCATTTTTTTTTTGCCAATTTCAGCTGTTTTTCAGCAAGTTCTGTAAGCATTCGCATTGCATTTTCACAGGAAATACAATTTCTCTAGTTAGAATTACAGATACAAAAGCAAAAAGCAAAAAGTTCACTGACACGCGACAAGTTGTATCCCAAAAAGGTTTACTTACATCTAAAATAGCAGCTAAAGCCTTTTTTTGGTTCTTTGTGTTCACAAACAGTAACCCTGTAGAGTATAGAAGGGCTTGTCCCAACATTAATTCACGTTTAATCCCATTTGAGCATACTAAGACATCAAAGCAAAGACAAATTCAAGTGACACGGTTAAAAACAAGAACTATATATCTACACATTTGAAACGGAGCAAAAAAACAAGCCGTTGTTTCTCGTTGTTTCCTCTCTGACCTTTGCACGATCCCTCGATGAATTAATAATCTGCTGGCAGCTACGGTGCAAACGCAACACGCGTGTCACAATGGGCCGCTGCCAAAGTTAAACAGAAAATGATACAAAGTGAGAAAACAGCTTCACGTTTGCATCTTCTCCTGGGATAATTGGCTTCTTCTGAGGTAATGGCGCAATTAATCTCTGCTATCGGTCCAGTCTCTGCTCTCATTTTAAAAATTTGTATTTTTCACCTCAGAGTTTTGTGCCAGAGATCAAAACAGGGAACAACGTGCAGCCGGACGTATTTCTGTCCCCCCGTGGAGCACTCCAGACAGCCGTAAACAGTTTCCCGCCGTTGGTTGCCCATGCCGCACAGCGCGCAGGGACCTTTGGGGATGTTGTGTTTGAGGAGGTTGACCCGCGTGTGGGAGCTTTCTCTCAGGTAGGCGGTGGACACGTCCGTCATGCTGGCAGCCTTCTCGTAGTAGTCAGTCGCCATGTCGTCCATGTAGGTGTCGGAGTGCGTGAGCGCCTCGAATGTTCGGTCGTCTGCACAGGGTTAGGTATGAGCAACATGAAAAAACTAAACAAAATGGCAGCCAAAGTACAATGTACGATGGTACCTGCTCTGAAGGGGTTTCCATAGATGATCCCGGACAGGAAGCGGCGCAGACGACCCATAGAGAAACGACCAATCATACCCCCCAGCTGCTCTCTGATCTGCTCTCGCTCAAATCCCCCCTGAGACTCTGGAGCTACACAAATATCTGAAAGACAAGGACAGCTCAGAAGACATCCTGAGGGGTGATGGGGGCCGTCTTGGCTTGGTCTTTATGTTTCTTGGAGGTTTTGCTTCTTACGTAATGAGTTTTTACAATTCATACAAGAAGTGCTGAGAGCCAAGCTTTCAAAAGTTGCTCTTTCTATTTATTCATTTTTGGTAAACTGAAAGCAAATGCAAATCATTGCTCTCTTAAACGTTAGACAAAGGAGAAGGTCAATGATTTTAGAAAAGACTCTTCAATTGCCACTCCTGTGGTCATTAACCATGAAGCTGTTGAGGTGGCGCATCAGTATGAACATCTGGGAACTGTTCTTGATGACAAACTGACCTTTGATGCACATGTAAGAAGGCCCACCAGAGGATGTATATTTTTTATCAGAATATCTGTGGGTTTAATGTTCTACTTTTATGAGAATGGTTTATCAAGTCTCTCAACTTTCTCTTTCATCTGTTGGTTTGGATTGTTAACATGCAAAAACAGGAATGAACTCTTCGGGATTGTGTGGGATTATCAATTTTGTCCATAAACTGAAAAATTAGAGGTGGAATGATCCATTTTCAGGTTTTTCAAATTTGACAGGGTGAGATTTAAAATAAGAATGAATGAAACCAACCATATGGATAGTGCCAATGTAAACACATGGTACATTTAGTAAAATTGGTCAAATTTACAAGCCATGAGTTCTGCTTGCAACAGAGCAATCTCTTAGGTGGTCCTCCTACCAAGACGTCCATCCAGTCGGACAAAAAGCTCGCAGATGCCGAAGGCAATGGTGGTATGAGCCGGAATAACGATGGCTTTGTCTCGACCTTTGGGGTTTCTGCCGTCATCGATCTGAAACTGCAGCAGAGCAGAAAGCTGAGTGATATAAAATAGTATGAACACTTTTAAATACCCGTAAAACACAGTGTGTTTTATAACTTTTAATATTTTAGGGCACTCTTGTTGAGAAAATACAATCTGTTGGTGACATTTATACTTTGATGAGAAGTATAAATATGTGGTTTTTACCCTCATGGTTGTCCCTCTCATGCCAGCGTGCACAGTTAGAGAGCACTGACGTGTAGTTCGGATACTCTCTACAACAACGCAGAGGACGGTTCGTCCACTGTCCTTAGACTGTCGAACCAGGCAGTGATCCAGGTCCACTTTCCTGGGAAGGACAAATTAACAACTGCAGGCTGTATTTTCTCTCTGGTATTATATCAATACGTGTAGTCCCTGTCTGAGCACCAGTGTTGAATGACAATCATTTATTCATCCTTACAGGGAACCCCCCTGTTCTCACCTTCTCTATGTCACCAAGATGTCTAAGGATAAAGGTCAAACTATTGTCAGTACCAGTCTAAAATAATATTGGAATGCACATATTTTTTTACTTTTATATTTTTATCATTTTAACAAATTCTTAAACTTATGTATTTGGACAAGCATGTGCTCTGGCATCCACAAGAGGTGCTGCTGGACCCTTTGCACCCCTACTTCCCACAGTCATCAGAGAACTTCCCATTCACCTAAAAATAACTATTTAAAAACTCTCCCGAGTTCAAACATAGTCGAGCATTATCCACAACACTTTATCTAATCGAGTTTTGGCTCCCGGTAAATGACCATTAGTGTCCTCTGAGCAGCTGTCAAAGTGTATGTCGACGATATGATACTAACCTGGAGTTAAGTTCACGCAGCAACGTAGGCACCTCCAGCTCGTGTTTGGTCACGATGCCAAAAGAGGCTTTGACGGCCACAGAGTCGGAGCCACTGATGTTGAAGCCCACATCGTTCATGATGTGGTTACCTAACCGTCCGTCTAGGGCTACGTCGGACTTATCCTCATAGTTGAGGAGCTGATAAGAGGACACTCCTGGGAAAGAAAAAAATAATCAAATTCAGATGAAATTGAGGAAATGCTTCTTCTATTGTAAAAACAATATACCAAATGTTGCAGTATCGCAGATTATTTAAATCAGTCTATAATGACATTTTATTTGAAACTATACAATTAGATCCAAAGTATATACTAACAATTCAGTGAGGACAAAAATATGTTATGAACTTTCCCAGCTGTTAGATATAGTAAATTATAATTTAGTTCTGCCTCGCTCTTGCTAAAGACAGACGCCTTCTATTCTCCCTCCCTTGTCCTCCTCTTCTTCCTGCTTTTTGCTCTCTGTGTGTCTCTTGTAGCTCCTGGTACACATTTTCCGAACGAAAAAATACAATTATGGATCTGGTGAGCTGGACTTTCAACGCAATTGACAAAATATTTCAACAAAACAACAGGGTCCTGGAGAGCCCTCATGTCCTGCCGAGACTCACGCTGCAGGATACAGCAGGGATCCGTGGGGAGTTTGGCAGCTGATGTGTCTTTCAGTTCTGTCTCAGGAGGACACTGAAGATGTTTATATATTTGGATACATGATAGCAGGGCTTCTGCTTTTTGGCATTGGCAGGTCTCTATGTTATCAACTTTTGAAGAAGACATCTGCAGCAGTTTCGGCCATGACAAAACAGCCAAGTCTGTGCGAAGGTTTGGTTCATGCTACGAGTACTCTAAATCAACTGATTTACGAGCTAAACCATAAGATGGAAGAGATTTGTGAGAATCGCATGCCACCTGCGGATTCTAGGACTCGCCAGCATGTCGGAGTCAACCTTGAAGAAGGCTCATAGCAGGGATCAGTGGAATGCCCATGAAGCTGGCCATTTTGGATCTGGAAAGTTCCAGCAGGACTCAAGGCTGACAAGAAAAAACAGTCTGCCTGAAGAAAATCAACAATTATGGCTTATCTGAATCTGACTCCCCCGTTTGGCCTCGGATGCAGGCTGACTATCAAATTTCTCTTGGGATATGGGTAAACTAAGGAAAAAGCTTAGTGTGTCGTTCCCACGTGCAGGCTTATCAGAAATGCCGGCTGAACAACATCGTATCAGGACTATGGCCTATCTGAAAGTGCTTCATGGACAAATCTCAACATCTTGACGTCAAATGCATACATAATTGTGTTTATAAATGTGTTTGCTGTGAGGATTTTTGATGTCTCAAATCATGTCCTGATAGGACAAGATGCGAAGAAATCTTTTTTGTAATACCATCATCCATACTCATGGCCTTTCACCGTTTTCTATCTAAAAAGGTATTCTGATAAAGAATAAGGGGTTGCGTTCTTGTAGCAGTAGCAACGTGCACTCCGCCCATCTTTCGGACGACTATACGAACATAATCTCGCTGTACCTCGGTACAATGATAATAAAGTTAAAATAATTTTTCTACTACATAACTAAAATGTTCACAAATTTTAGTACAATATTGAAATATGTCCAAGTTTGTTTTCAAACTTCTGTTTCATAAATCTGTAAAGACGTTTTGTTTACAGAATATTACTGTGTGAGTTAAGCAAACGCATTTCTTATAAGATATGTGTCATTAAATGTTTGCTGTTAGAAGAGACGGATAACTCTCTCAAAAATTCACAAAACATTCAATCTATTTGGCAGCAGAGAGCTGAACAAAAACAAGAAGCAGTTCTTACAGCTAGCATAGCTGTTAGCAGTAAACTGCTCAAAAGATGCAGAACCAGCTGACAATAAACTACTACAAAAGGACAGGTGATATTTTTGATTAAATGAATAAATAAATAAACAAATAAATAAATAAATAAATAAATAAATAAATAAATAAATAAATAAATAAATAAATAAATAAAAAAGGGTTGCAAAACCCTTTACCAACATTTCAGAAAATTTCTTAGAAGTTTCAACAAAACATGAAAGAAAAACAAAATGATTTTTTTTTGGGGCGGGGAGACACAAAATCAATTTATGAGAATGTCTTGGTCTAAACATTGCATATCTAATCCAACAATGTTCAGTCAGATAATCTGGATGTCCTGATAGGACAATATGTGAAGCCTTCTGGATCGAAGGCAAAACGTTTCAGCACAAAAAAAGAAACTGTCCAGATGACCTGACTGAAAAATGTTGGATTGTATACCTGGATTATTGAGCATGGACTTTGTTGTAATCTGGATGGTTTCTTTTTTTTTTGTGCTGAGACATTTTGTCCTTCATCCAAAGGACTTCATCAATCTGAGAAGCCACCAAACAAAACTGATTCCCACAAACAGCATACCATCCAACCATCCATTATCTTTACCCACTTATTCCATTTTGGGTCACGGGGGTCGCTGGTGCCCATGTCCAGCAATCACTGTGCGAGGGGCGGGGTACACCCTGGACAGGTCTCCAGTCCATCATAGGGACACTTAGAGACAAACGAGACAAACAACCACTCACTCTCTCACTCACACCTAGGGACAATTTAGAGTTACCAATCAGCCTAACATGCATGTTTTTGGTCTATGGGAGGAAACCGGAGTACCCGGAGAAAACCCATGCATGCACGGAGAGAACATGCAAACTCCACCCAGAAGGCCCCTGGACCAGGGTTTGAACCAAGGACCTGCTCGCTGAGAGGCAGCAGCTCTACCAGTTGCGCCACTGTGCTGCCCAAACAGCATACCCCATAGTGAAGAAAAAAAAAACAGTTTGCTTGTGCTAAGATGGCCTCCAGGGTCTGTAGAACCAGCTAACTTGTTTTTTTCCAAGAAGCGGGTAAAGATAATGGATGGATTAATGGACTATTATTATTCAAATCCCTCAGGGGTGGGGGACATACCGCTTGTATTACCATACAACAGCACATATCACCTATAACAATTACGCAAGAAAGAATTTAACAAAAAATATTTCCAAATTGCATGCTTTTAAGGATTGTCTACTGTTGTCATCACTCTTTGTTAAAATCAGGTCTCTCTTGTAAATGGGTCCCCGAGGCTCAATGGGATTAACCTGTCTAAATAAAGGTCGAATGAAAGTAGAACTCTAGATGTGCCATTTGTAATGATAGATGTTCTGGTTTAGATCAGATCAAGATCATTTGGACATATTTTTCATCTAATGAGGAAACCAAGGCAGGTCCGCAGAATACAATATGAAGCAGCAATAATTAGATTAGGACCAAACTTTGGGTACAACTGTGTACCTATGTGCAGTTGTGGAAAAATATTTAGAACATTTAAGGTTTTCGTTTCGCAACTTTCCTCAAATCAAATGTTCAAACTTGAAATTCAACAGTTGAATTTATTTCGTCTTCATTTTACCTGCTGTGATCTCTTTATCCCCCACCAGGATGTCTTTCAGCGAGAACGGCGTCGAGGCGTGCTTGTTCTTCTTCCAGAAATGCCTCTTCCTCTTCCTGGTGACCAGGCTGAGGGGCTGGTAGCGATCAGCCTCGCTCAAGCTGGGGACTGGGATCAGCCTCCCCGTGTCTCCAACCTGCTTCACAAAATTCTTAGTGGCTGCGGCGAACATTTCAAACAGTTTATCTAAAAGAAATAACCAAAATTTTCAAAGGGAGGTCAGCGCTTGTCTGACTCCTCTCACTGAGAAGGATAACTCAGGAGTGTTCTTTCAGACTTGTGAAATCATAAATAATGCAGGTGATGTGTAAGGGAATATGGGACAAGGTGTGTGTTACACCTAATAGATGGCTGTTGGCCTGCAGCTTCCGGTCACATGACAACATTGAAATTTTTTTATTTTTCTTTAGTCAATGGTTTAGTCGACATTTTAAAACCACAACTTTGACCATATTGCAGGAACACGTGAAACGGCTGCTTTAAAAGAAAGCTTTTGTAGTTATTTAAAGGCAAAACAGTTTGTGCGTGCTTGTTTTGTTTTATTCATTTTTGAGAGTGTCTTTGTAGTTTATTTTTAATAAAGTCCACTTATCCAAGTACTGCAGTTGTCTCCACAATCTGTGTGTCCTGCTGGCATAGCTCCTGCGGTTATGCTGCCACCTAGTTTTTACAACTATAAATAGCCTGAACTGCATTTTAGTTTCCTCTGTAATTTGCTCTTCCACGCAAGAAAGCTCTTATAATAGCTCAAATGTATGACTAAAGACTTAAAATGGCATATTATACCACTTTTATTCATCATATTGTGTTCAGCTGGTTGCTAACCTGTTAGCCACAAGCTAATGAAGAAACAGCTAGCTGTTGCGGCTGCTAATTTAGTGTAGTTCCCATCTCTAAAAAAAAAAAAAGCTAACATGTGAAATAAAAGAATACCTCCACATTCCACTCTGGTTGTATATATTAAAGTAATATTCAAGGTTATTTGTCATTCACACCACATGTGGTACATGTGGTGGAACAAAATTGTGTACACAGAGTCCCAGTTACATACAACAAAAGTATAAAATGTAAAAGAAAAACAGTAATAAGATCTAAGATATGAACTAAGAAAAATGTTAACTAAAAATACACTAAGCACTAGTAGCATAAACACAATACGACGAACAGCTGTTTCACGTTGCTGTGTTCATGCGTTTTTCATCTGCTCACACAGACTCATGTTTGTGCTGCTAACAGCCTCAGGGTAGAAGCTGTTCCTCAGTCTAGTGGTGCTACACATAATGCTCCTCAACCTCCATCCTGAGGGGAGCGGGATAAAAAGTGAGTGTGCTGGGTGAGTGGGGTCCTACATGATGCAGGTGGCCCTCTTCTTGCATCTAAAGGTGTAGATGTCTGTGATGGTGGGGAGGCTGACTCCAAAAGACTTCTGTGCAGCCTTCACCACTCTCTGCAAAACTTTTCTTTCTGCAGCTGTGCAGCCTCCACGCCACACGTTGATTACGAGATAGATTAAATACAAGTAAAATAAATAGATAGATTAAATAAATATATTTAAGACTTTCCTATTTGATAAATCCTACAGTTAGGGTTGGGTTGTTATGCTGCCAGAGTCTTAACTGGAGTTAGGAGAAATCATATCTCTCCAGTTTTAGTTTCTCTCCATCGGCTCCCTGTCAAATTCAGAATTAAATTCAAAATCTTCTAACCTACAAAGCTCTCAACAACCTAGCTCCATCTTATGTTCTAGATCTTATTTTTCCATATTTTCCTAACAAACCACTTCATTCTCAGACTGCAGGCTTACTCGCAGTTCCTAGCGTTTCCAAAAGCAGAATGGGAGGAAGATCTTTCAGTTATCAGGCTCCTCTCTTGTGGAACCAACTTCCAGTTTCTGTCCGTAAGACTGACACATTGTCCAGTTTAAAGACAGGGCGACTCTCCTTTTTGATAAATCCTATAGTTAGTCGGCTTGGTTTTCTGACCTATTCCTTATCCTATGCTGCTATAACCTTAGACTATTGGAGGACACATTGACCTCATTTCATCAAATGAATAGTTTGTGTTTGTAATTATTCTTTCCTAACTTGTGATTCTGTCTATTTGTCTTTCGTCCTATAAAAAAAACCCCTGAAGATCTCCATCCTGGATCTGCCGTTTTGTGTTCGTTTCTCCTGTTCCTCTCAAACCCAGCCGGTCAAAGCAGATGACCGCTTGTCCTGAGCCTGGTTCTGCTAAAGGTTTCTTCCTCATGAGGGAGTTTTTCCTTTCCACTGTTGCATCTGTGCTCGCTTAGGATGGGAGACTGTGGCAAAGTGAAAACTCAAAGCAGTCTGCTCCTCAGAAACATCTGCTAAGTTCATGGCATAAACCAACACAGACATATTCCTGTTTTTAGTATTTTACATCGCTTTATAATGTAGCAGTTTTTGTTTAGTTTTTTTATAAATATAATTTTCTTGTAATTTTCAATTCATATGCTTTTTTATGATTGTCTACTGATGTACTGATAAATATCTCCTGGAGGGTAAACTATATCGTGGCTGCAAGTATCAAGCTGTGAAATCCTTTGTTTTCTACAACTGATAGTGGTTGATCATTAATTACGATGAAGTTTAGCAACTTCTCGGTAAACATTTGAGCTCCGTGGCTTCAGCGATGTCTTTTTCTCGTTCAGTCCGAAGCAGGCAGCCTGATTTCAGTCAGCCGCGCTCAGTCTGCCCCTCCTCAGAGACGGGCAGATTGAGCGGGGCGGATTGGGCGTGGCTGGCCGGGGTCAGGCTGCCTGCTTTGGTTTGAGCAAGAGGAGTGCACCGCTGAAGCCCCGAAGCTTGAATGTCCAACGTAAAACTAACTTTACCGTGGTTTAATGTGGTGCTATGGCTCTGCCAACATTGCACGTTGCTGCATTGCTTTGTGGTGTTTCTAGTGTAAAATACTTCCACACAGCAGACATGTTTCGATGAAAAGTTTTTTAGCTGTTAGCCACGGTGCTACCGCACGTTGTAGCTGGCTGCAAACTATGAAATGGATTTCCTGAATGTGAGGCGGGTCTTATTACTCTGGGCTCATGAAGCACGCCTCAGTTCAGGAAATCCATTCCATAGTTTGAAGCCAACGTGCAGAGCAGCCGGCAGGGAATCACATGAGGAGACGTTTCATCAAACACAGACATGCATCATGCATCGGAAAAATCCGATACGTAAATTATGCTGGTATCGGAGCCCGATACAGATACAGGATCAGCCCCATCCCTAATAAAAAAACATAGGATAACCAGTTGAATAAAAGGTAAAACAATGTGTAAAATGTAAAAACAAAATACATTAATATATTTGTACACTAACTTTAGGGGTCAGCAGAATGTCGTTTGTGCATCAAGCTTTAAAATTAATTTGAATGTTTATTAGCATTTATTCTTTATAACTTCAAGTTAAAAAGATAGGCTCTCAGAATACTAATACATTACAGTAAAAAAAAAACAAAAAAAACACAAAGATGAGCTCTTGTCAGACACAGGAACTGTCTTCCCATCTGTCGTCCCTGTCCCAGAGCAGTTCGTTCTGTTTCCTTAATGAGAAATCAGTCTGTCCTTCAAGCACAGGGAAGACTTCCTGACTTGTTCAGCAAAGGAAACAAACTAATTTTACCTCATCCACTGAGAAAAATATTGCATTCAAAAAGATTCAGCAACCCAACGGAAGCTACGGTCTCTAATGAAGAGGAACCTGTGTGGCGGTAGATGAGTCCTTCTGTTTGTTGTGTTGTCTGCCTCTGGGACATCACAGACAGCCTGCTTGATGTATAGACCTGGCACATTTCTGTCCTGGAAAACACATCAAATGGACGTTTTCAACACGCTGTAAACTGCTCAGGCTGGAGTGTATAGATTTAGGTCAGCAAGCTGAATGTTGTCTGGTTCAACAACCAATTACAAGCAGAAAGATATAGCCAAACATTTCAATATTACACATGAAAAAGTTCATATTGCTACTAATTCCAGGAAAAGCTCTTTGAATTATTTAAACATAGTGGCTTCAAAATTGGACACTGCTGCAGTGGTTAGAGTCGCCACGTTACGGTGAGAAGATTGCAAGATCGCCTCCTCTGGGTGGAGTTTACTTGTTCTCCAGTGCACACGTCAGTTTTCTCCCGGTTTCGTACCACAGACCAAAAACGTGCTTTTTTTTTCATTAATCTTTTATTTATACTCACTGAGTCATGAGGACTCATTTACACTGCAGGTAATGATGTCCTGAGAGCGCACGCTGTAACTGCACTAACGAGACATGTAGGAGGAGATGTATGAAGGCAACAGGCGAAGAAGTGATTTAAAGATGAAAATGTACCAGTGAGAGAGTCTACGTGAAGTTAATGGTGTCCAGTTAACCAGTGAATACAGGGTGCAGTGATGGGTACGATAATCACAGCCAGTTATGAATCTTAATGCACCATGATAGACTGCGTCCAACATCTGCAGAGTTCTTGTAGGATAATTCATGTAAATAATGTCACCGTAGTCAATGGAGGGAAGGAAAGTAGCTGTTACAAGGTGTTTCCTAGCATTCAGAGTCAGACTAGATCTATTTCTGAAAAAGAAACCCAATTTTACTTTCTATTTCTTTACCAAGTCGACATGAGGCTTAAAGGAGAAAGAGAGATGTGCATCGACCAAGATTTCCAAGTATTTGTAAGAATCGACAAACTCAACAGGAAAACCATTCGTAGATGAGCTAGAAGGAAGGACTGCTAATACCAGCGTCCTGTTTGAAAACAACATCCCTTTGGTTTTATCAGCATTTAGCACCAGTTTGAGGTGGAACAAATCTGGCTGGATGATACTGAATGCAGACTCTAAAAGATGGAAAACCTTAGCAACTGTTTTAGCTCAACAATAAACAACTGTGTCATCGACATAGAAATGTAAGGATGCATCAGGAATAAAGGAAGGAATGCATGTTAGGCTGATTGGTAACTCCAAATTGTCTCTAGGTGTGAGTGAGAGTGTGAATGGCTGTTTATCTCTAAGCATCCCAGTAACGGACTGGGAACCTGTCCAGGGTGATGAACATGTTCAAAATTGAAGCAACAAGACTAAATGCATCTGTGACTCGTGAGGGAATTCAAAACCCTTGAAAATGTCACATGACATTTTGCAGGATCCCTTGCAAAGCAAGGATCTAAGATATACGTTCGTTTAGCGTGTATCTTAGATCCTTGTATACTGTTTCTTTTTATAATTTATATTTTTCTATTTTTTGGATGCAACTGGGACCTTGAGTACACAATTTCGTTCCACCTCATGTACCACATGTGACGCGAACGACAATAAAGAAACTTGAACTTGAACAAAGGCTATACACCAACTTGTTGCCAAGCCTAATGAAATGCAATTTACAGAAACTAAATTCCGAAAGATTTGAGATGTCCGCAACAAAACTGAGAAGGATCTGAGACGCCAGCGACTCTGGAACTCTTCTGCGAGAACAAGAGAGAACACATCAAAATGTATCTGCTATTCTGTGCAACTCACTCGAAGAAAACAAGCACGCATCCAACATTTTCTATACGTTCTTGCAAATGCCGTTCACCAACTTATCTCCGTCAGTCCAGAGAGATACTGTCTTAGGCCTAATGTGTATATTTTGAGTTAAACTGAACTCAAAATGGATGTTCTAGCACATGAAGAAAAAAACTATCAAAGTTCTGAATAATTCTGTAAAATAAAACTTGTGCCGGTCTTGGCGATACTGTCCAGAATCATGACACATCAAAATGCAATAAACAAGCGATTATCCCAAAACAATTGGAGCTTACCTTTTATTTGACGCTTAAATATTTCCTCTCAGTAATGACCCTTGTTTTCACAAAACCACAGTTAATTGGCGTCAGAGCCAGGTCAAATTCTGCCAGATGTAAACAAATTGGTAAATTTATGCTAATGTTGGATTCTTGAGTGTATTCAATGCACGAAGCAATACTGGCCGAGCATGAAGTGGGGTTTACTTTTTAAAATACCCAGCTAGTATGGACAGAGCCTTAAGGATAATTCATTTTATTCTACATTTGACATTAATTCGATTAAAATTTGAAAGAAGGAACTACCTTCACGCAATTGTTCTAAGACTTTCAAGACGTCAAGGTGACTTATAATTAATCTCCATCAAAAGTCTGTGTACATCAAGTAAAGGCAAAAATATTACTTAAAAAAAAAAAATCTACTTTTGCTTTGAAGTGGTTTTAGAAACATCATCCATTCCTTCTTTTTTTTTTTTTAATCAGGACAATTTTAATGCAGCCTCTAATTAGTGCCATCGTTTAAGGCTATTGCAGACGCTCGAGGAGAAGGTTGGCCTTGGAATAAAAGAAGAAGAAATTATGAGAGAGCAGATGAGAGGGAGGGAGGAAAGTTGAAAGTACCAGGGAGGTCTTGGTGAGGGGGGGTTGGAGTGGGCGCTTGTTTCAGTTTGCAATAATTGCTCATCCAGGAGCCTGTTGCACTCTGGGACATTTGGATTTTCCAGCCTGAACGCTGTAGCTCAGGGTTGGGCTTGTCTCGGGCTTCCTCGTCTGCTTTGCAACAACAGTTTGTGAGGGCGCTGCATGTCTGACATGCAGACATGGGTTTCCAAGTTTGCTCTAGGATTACAATATGCCTCGCCATCACCTTGGCTCAGGTGATTGCCGTGACCTGCCAAGACGGTAACAAGAAAGGTGAGTGTCCGATTCCCTGCTATAACCACTAAATTGGATTATTGTGTTAATGTTTGATGTTTAAGTAAGAATAAAAAATTACTTTGCTTCTGTGGGCTTATATTTTTATCTTTGTCTCTTGACATTTGCCGTCTTCGTGACTGAGAAATCAAAGCCAGTGAAAACTTGTGTATTTTCGGAACTCTTTTTCTCATTGTTTTCTTGAAATGTTTTTATTGCATATATACTTTTATGGTGTAACTTATATTTACGCCTCCCAGCTCTCGAACCACAGTCACTAGTTTATGTGGTTAGCATTTAATCACACCTGAAGTTGAGACCAGAGGGTCTTATTTAGACAATTATACACAATATTCAGAGTTGATGAAGCTGCTCACAGCCACTAGATGACCAAAATGTTATATTATGGCAGCACATTTGTCAAAATTGGCAGTTTCTCAACATCTAATTCAAAATGTGAGTTTGATTTGACACCAGAGTGATGTTGGTGTCCGATATCGAGTCTAAAGTGACAAACAATCTCAAATTTCTGGTAATGTTTGGTTCTCTAATATGTAAAATTCAGAAGTAGTGTGTTCTTTAAACGGTTCGGCTAACTCTAAAGAGCACGCACGGCTGGACGGTCTATTTCAGTGCAGAGCTGAGGCTGAATGATGGGGTTGTAGATGCCATGGCTATAATGATGTGGCCTTGTGGATGGGATGGACAAAAGCAGGCCACTAATTTTGGTCAGACTCGGGGCCAGATGCAGACAAGACACACCCAATGTGAGAAGATGCTGGATACGAAAATATGCTGCTCTTGCTTTTATCCAACTTCACCTCCACTGAAGCGTTCTTGCTGCAAAGGAGGAGCAGGAAACTATTTATAGACATGCACCAGATGTTTTGGGTCCTAATCCAGTGTGTTTAAGTACAGCAATGGATGAGGAAGTCATGTTTTTTTTCCAGTTTTTGTCTGTTTAATGCATCATGTTTAAGCCAGAATTGTAAAGATTTATCGTGCTTGTAGACATGACAGTATGAAAAAAATGAACAAAATATAAAATGGCATAAACAACTGCTGTGTTCACATCGCTACGGGAAGTCTTAACCTGTAATTTTGTGTTTTCATCTGTATTCAAAATCAAAACGTATAATCTTCATATCAAAGTTTAACATCAATATTTTTTTCTGTTTATAGATTCATACAGTTGGATATTTATTTAAACATTACAACATCAGGTTTATTAGATTTATGACTTAGTTTTTGTTTTCTGATTACGGTATTTTCCAGAACTGATATAAAAACAAAAATAAAAACAGCCGGGGTAAATGGTGAGGTTGGTATCAGGAAGGGCATCCGACGTAAAACACTTTTTTCCAAAACTAATATGCAAGTTCATCTAAGCAACACCACACTGGATCAACTGAGGCCCGGGTTAACAATGGCCGCCACTGATGCTTTTGACAAACAGGGTGCCGGCGAAAATTGTTCTACTGTTAGTTGAAGAGTGGAGAGAAACGTGTCAGGAGACAGAGGGAAAAGAAGAAAGTTAAGAATGTAGGACTGAGGGCGGCAACTTTAAATGTGGGGACAATGACAGGCAAAGATAGAGAGCTGGCTGGCATGATGCAGAGAAGGAAGGTAGATGTTTTATGTGTCCAAGAGACCAAATGGAAGGGCAGCAAGGCTCGTAGCACTGGAGCAGGGTTCAAACTGTTTTACCATGGTGTGGATAGAAAGAGAAATGGAGTAGGGGTGCTCCTGAAGGAGGAGTTGGCAAATAATGTAGTAGAGGTGAAAAGAGTGTCAGATAGGGTGATGTGCCTGAAGGTAGAAGTAGAAGGTCTGATGCTAAATGTTGTCAGTGGTTATGCTCCACAGGTTGGATGTGACACAGAGGAGAAATATACATTTTGAAAGGATCTGGATGAAGTGATGGAGAGTATTCCTAGGGAGGAGAGAGTGGTGATCAGAGCAGACCTGAATGGACATGTTGGTGAAGGAAACAGAGGGGATGAGGAAGTGATGGGTAGGTTTGGTGTCAAGGAAAGAAACCAGGAAGGATAGATGGTGGTGGATTTTGCCAAGAGCATGGAAATAGCTGTAGTCAATATCTATTTCCAAAAGAGGGAGGAACATAGAGTGACTTATCAGAGTGGAGGAAGAAGTACACAGGTTGACTTCATTCTGTGTAGAAGAGGAAACCTGAGGAAGATTGGAGACTGTAAGGTTGTGGCAGGGGAGAGCATGGCCAGACAGCATCGGATGGTTGTGTGTAGAATGACTGTTGTTGTGAAGAAAAGAAAAAGAGTAAAATCAGATCAAATAGAAGGAAGATGAAGAAGGAAGAATGTGAAAAATTCAGAGAGGAGCTGCTAAAGGCTCTGGGTGATAAGAAAGAGCTTCCAAATGACTGGACTACTACAGCAACAGTAATTAGAGAGACAAGTAGGAAGGTACTTGGTGTGTCATCTGGACAGAGAATGGATGATAAAGAAACCTGGTGGTGGAATAGAGAAGTGCAGGACGCTATTCAAATAGAGGTTAGCCAAGAAGAAATATGACAGTGAGAGGACTGAAGAGAGGAGACTGCTAAGGATGTGCAGCAGGTTAGGCTTGTTAAAGATAGGAATGGTAATGTTCTAACAAGTGTGGAGAGTGTGATGGGGAGATGGAAGGAGTACTTTGAGGAGTTAATGAATGAAGAGAATGAAAGAGAAGAAGAGTAGAAGTCATAGAAACTGTGGACCAGGAAGTGGGAAAGATTAGTGAGGGTGACGTCTGTAAAGCTCTGAAAAGAATGAAGAAGGGAAAGGAAGTAGGATCTGATGACATACCAGTGGAGGTTTGGGAACGTCTTGGAGGGATGGCAGTGAGGTTTTTGACTCATATATTCAATGGTACATTTGAGGGTGAGAAAATACCTGATGAATGGAGAAGTGTGCTGGTGCCCATTTTTAAGAACAAGGGTGATGTACAGAGTTGTAGCAACTACAGAGGAATTAAGTTGAGGAGCGACAAAATGAAGATATGGGAGAGAATTGTGGAAGCAAGACTTGGCCGAGAGGTGAAAAGTTGTAAGCAGCAGACGAGTTTGTTTTGTGGCTCCTCAGACTGAAGAAGTCTTTTGGATGAAGGACGAAACGTCTCCACAAAAAAAGAAACCATCCAGATGACCTGACTAAACATTGTTGGATTATTATCTGGATCATTGAGCATTAAATTTGATGTGAGCAGCAGGATGGTTTCATGCCAATAAAGAGCACCACAGATGCCATCTTTGCTTTGAGAATGCTGATGGAGAAGTACAAAGAGGGTCAGAAAGAACTCCATTGTGTCTATATGGATTTAGAAAAAGCATATAACAGGGTGCTGAGGTAGGAGGTGTGGTATTGCATGAGGAAATCTGGAGTGGCAGAAAAGTATGTTAGACTGGTACAGGACATGTATGAGGACAGCAGGACAGTGGTGAGATGTATGAGTGACAGATAGCTTCAAGGTGGAGGTGGGAGTGCATCAAGGATTGACTCTGAGCCCCTTCTTGTTTGCTCTGGTGATTGACCGACTAACAGATGAGGTCAGGCAGGAATCCCCGTGAACTATAATGTTTGCAGATGACATTGTGATCTGTGGTGAAAACAGTGAACAGGTGGAAGAGAACTTGGAGGGGTGGAACACTTGAAAGAAGAGGAATGAAAGTCAGCCGTAGGGAGATGGGGTACATGTGTGTAAATGAGAGGGAGGCCGGTGAAACAGTGAGGCTACAAGGAGCAAAGGTCACAAAGGTGCAGGACTTCAAGTACTTGGGGTCCACCGTCCAGGAAAATGGGGAGTGTGGTAAAGAGATGAAGAAGAGAGTCCAGGCAGGATGGAGTGGATGAAGAAAAGTTTCAGGAGTGATTTGTGACAAAAAGGTGTCAGTAAAGGTCAAATGAAAAGTTTACAAGACAGTGGTGAGACCAGCTATGTTGTATGGTCTGGAGACAGAGACATGGACAAAAAGGCAGGAGAAAGAACTGGAAGTGGCAGAAATGAAGATGTTGAGGTTCTTCTTAGGAGTGACAAGGATGGATAAGATTAGGAATGAGATCATCAGAGGTACAGCACAGGTTGAACATATATATACACACATATATATATATATATAGATATATATATCCATCCTTCCATCCATTATCTTTACCCGCTTCTTCCTTTTTGGGTTGCTGGGGTCACATGTCCAGCTATCACTGTGCAAGAGGTGGGGACACTCTGGACAGGTCTCCAGTCCATCACAGGCCCACATAGAGACAAACAACCATTCACTCTCTCACTCACACCTAGGGACAATTTAGAGTTACCAGCCAGCCTAACATGCATGTTTTTGGTCTGTGGGAGGAAACCAGAGTACCCAGAGAAAACCCACGCATGCACGCAGAGAACATTCAAACTCCACCCAAAAAGGCCCCCGGACCGGGATTTAAACCGGCAACCTTCTCGCTGAGAGGTGGCAGCTCTACCTACTGAGCTACCAGTATATTAACTAGTATATAACCAGTATATACCAGCCAGTATACCAATTGTGGTGGCTAAGCTTTTGCTAAATAAGCTATAGCTAAATAGCTATAATTAAATATAATTAAATCCAAACAAAGTCAGCTGAAATTTGTAGAAATACAGTACATTACTGCAATGTTTGCAGATCTTGACTGTGTGGATGAACCTGCAGCTACTTTTTATTTTTTCTGAGGAGCAGCAGGTTTTAAGGCTGGAGGTTTCTCCGGGTGCGGCATCTCACTGCTCTCCCAAATCAAGTCAAACCACAGGTTTTAGCCGAGCCTAACATATAATACAGCGCTGTGGGTTTCCCTGAAATAACTGCAGCTTTTAAAAAACACCCGTTTTCTTGGGGAGAGGCCCCACCACATAATTGGTACTTAGCGATGTTGCAAAAACGAACAGATTCAGATGTGCTCCTTAGTGCCAGCAGGTGCTTATATTTACTTTATTCTGTTCTTCTTCTGTTGTGCCCTTTT